TATCTTTAACTCCAGTTCCAGGGGAATCGGATGCTGTCTTCTGACCTCCACAAGAATTGCATGACATCGGTGCACTTAATCTACATGCAGGGAATACACTCATACACATAAAATAAAAATAACACATTTAAAAACAGAAGGAAAGACATGTAAAGATGTTAATATTGGTATTTGTAGGTACCACCTATTGACATCTTAAGTTCGTGTCTATGAGCACATATGGATAAATATACAGGAAGACAAGAGGAACTGTTCATCACAATGGGCATCAACAGGAAGGGGGTTAAGGAAAAAAAGTACGACAACAGACTTCCAGAGGCTGGAGAGATGGCTCACTGAGTAAAGTGCTTAATGCGCAAGCATGAGAACCTGAATTTGGATCCCCAGAACCCATGAAAAAAGCTGGATACTGTGGCCCACACCTAGTGTAGCTGATTAGTGAGCTCCAGGCCCAGAAAGAGACCTTGTCTCATAAACTACAGTGGAGAGACACCCCATGTGGCTCTCTGGCCTCTGCACACTTATGCGTACACTCACACCTCAGATTTTCTCTATATCCTTCTGCTGTTTTCCAATGTTGCAACAATAAACATACATGTATGTATTACTCATTTAATTGTAGAAATTTAATTGGAAAAGAGAATCCTGTTCCTTTGGTCCTTCTTAATGTTGATTCTACAATTGCATATATCTAAAACCAACATCTTACCCTCCCCAAATGTCTTCCTCTATTTTGTTTCCTGATTTCGCCAAGGATGAACCCTGGCCATCAAGAGCACTTTCCCACATGGCTCCCCTGACAGGCATCCTCAGGTATCTGAAGGTCACTCCGTGGGGTCCCTTTTCCTTCTTAGATCCTGCCTGCATCTTCCATCCCTCCTCCACCTTTCCAACATTCTAGGTGAAGCCTCTATTTGTGAACTAGCTGGCTCACCTCCAGAAAAAGAACCTAGTGTGTACCTGTTGTTCCTGCACTATAGGGAATGGGAATGGAGAACACAGAACTCCAGGTCAGCCTGGGCTGCATAGGAGAGCTTGTTTCAAAACATCAGAGAAAGAGAGAGAGAGAGAGAGAGAGAGAGAGAGAGAGAGAGAGAACCAAGAAAACATCTCTTAGTACTACTCTTGTCCAGCTACTCCTCTGTTTCCCAACAGGCCAACACAGGGACTAAGTCTCAGGGTCCAACTCAAATATACATCTCCTGGTTTCATTTCTTGATACTCTGCCCACACCCTCCCTCCCAAAGTCTTTGTACTTCCCAGACATCACAAGGGCCCCAATGTGTGCCCCTGCCTCTACTTCTACACCTCCAGTGCAGCTTCTGCAGAGCTCACCTACCAGACACTCTCCTTCCTTCTCAAAGCTCCGACTCAGCATCCTTTCTCCCCATTCCTGAAGGTTGGCTGGGCATTACTTCCACATGTGTTTGACTCCCTGTAGCTCCATCTCCCTCAACACACTTCACTGTGATGTTCTCCTTACCTGTTGGCCTCCTATCCCAGATCACCTGGCAGCATCGCAAAATACAGGCTCGGCTTGAATGTTTGACTTGAATCCTGGTCTCACATGTACAGTTATGATACTTTCCAATAACTCACTTAATTTCTATGCCTCAGTTTTGTCAACTGTAAACCAAGAAGCACTTGCCAGCAAAGCTGGTGTGAGGATGAAACAAGTGCGTACACACACAGTATTACAGTATTCAGAGTGGTGCCTGCCCATGCACTGTACCAGCTGGGGCTGTGTCATCAAGCCCATTACTAGCCACCACTGCTAAGGCAATGCCTGGCACCTGACGGGTGGTCAGTGAACAAATCATTGCTTTTCTGTATGTGGTGTGTGTACATGTTATGTGTGTGCACATGTATGTACATGCATATGGAGGTCAGAGGTCAATGCTGGGTATCTTCCTAAATCACTTTAGTATGTGGGCATGAGTGTATGTGTGTGCAGGTGGCCTTGGAGACCAGAAGAGGGCATTGGATACCCAGGAACTGGAGTTGCAGGCAGTGGTGAGCAGCCTGATGTAGGTGCTGGGAACTGAACTCAGATCCTCTGGAAGAGCGGCAAGTGCTCTTAACTGCTGAGCCATCTCTGCAGCTCCTTGCTTTACCTTGTTTTGAGCTAAGGTCTCTCACTGAACCTGGAACTTTCTGATTTGGCTAGACTGTCTGGCCAGGGAGCCCTCGTGATCTTCCTGCTTCTACCTCCCTGAAGTGTTGATTATAGGCACATGCCATGGCACTGGGGTTTCACGGGTGCTGGGAATTGGGACTTAGATCCTCATGCTTGTGTGACAAACACTTCACTAAATAAGGCTTCTCTCCATTCCAACTACTGCATTTTGAAGAAACACTTTTGTAAAGGCATGCACTCTGAAAAAAGAAGAGCAATTTGACATAAATCCAAGACTATCCACCCATACCCATGAAGTACAAGGAAAGGCCATTCACAGACAGTTGCAAGTAAGTTGAACAATAACTGTGATCCTCCCTAATAAAATTGCTCATCATGGCTCTGGTGTGGTTATTCATACAACAGCACCATGAAACAACCTCACTCATTAATTTTAATTTCCTGAGTGGCAAAAGCAGTTATGTTGAACTAACGGCCCATAGCATTTCATGTTTAATGTGCTCTGAAAATGGTGGCAGTATTATGGGATGGCAGAGTTTTCTCGTCATACATCCACAACCTCCTGCAAGTGTTGATGAAATGTTGAAGACAGAGTGCTTTCTAAGGATCTCCCAAGGCCAGTGGGAGGCCAGGTGAGGACCTTTGATATCTTTGGTCTGATTACAATCTAAATTCCTAGCCATCAGGTGGCCTCATCTCGTAGCTTACTGCATCTCAAAGACCTGGATGGACCAGACATGTTGGTTCCCAGCACTTCAGTTCCAGGGGATCCAATATCCTCTTCTGGCCTCTGTGGGCATTGCACACATGTGATGCACTTATATACAATGCAGGCAGAACACTCATACACATAAAATAAAAATAAATTTAAAAATATTTTAAAGAGAGCAACTTTTTAAAAAGAAACACTACATTGATGCATGTGGGAGGAAGCACCATGTGGACTTGCAGGCAGAACCTTTCTGGGGGAAATGTCTCCTCTCTGTTGGAGTGCTGCCGTCAGGGGATAAGATCTTGCTTCCTACCCTAGCAGCCCTCGGTATTACTCTCTGCAGATAAGGCGTGTTTGAGGATGAATCAGAAGGACCCAGACTCAGTCCCATTTCTCACCCACCTCACAGGATGCCTGCTTCTCTGTTTTTTGCCTGAGTTGTCTTTGTTTTTTTTCCCTCTCTAGACCCAGCCATTATGCCTGCCTAAAAGCCGATTATTCAAACGGCAGTCCTCAAATGCTCCTTCAATTAGAGGAAATAAGAAAGCTGCTACTTCAGTTCACTCTGAAATCATTTGTATTTTAATTGATAATTCAAAAGGACCATAGCAGGGCTGGCAATGTGACTCAATTGGTAGAGTGCTTGTTTAGCATGCACAAAGTTCTGGATTCTATTCCCAGCACTATATAAAGTGAATGTGGTGGTACACACCTATAATACCAGCATTTAGGAGGCAGATGCAGGAGGATCAGAAGTTCAAGATCATCTTCAGCTACATAGTGAGTTCAAGGCCATCTTGGGCTACATGAGACCCTATCTCAAAAGAAAGGTCTTCCACTATCCACATCTGCAGAGAAGAGCATGTCTCAGAGAAGAAAGTCTTATGGGTTGAACTACATTGGAAACTCAGTCTGAATCTAGAGTTCTATAGTGAGATGTTAACAGAGACAAAAATCAGAGTATTTTGTGGTATTCCAGGGGGTTAATTTATTGTAATTAGTGGGTTTTTTTGGTTTTTGTTTTTGAGACAGGGCCTCCTAGTAGCCCCAATTGACCTGAGACTTCCTATGTACACCAGGCCAGCCTCAAACTCACAGAGATCCTCTGGCCTCTGCGTCCCTAGTGCTGGGATTAAAGGTGTGCACACAGCTATAATTAGTGATTTTTAACATGTCATGTGGTATTTTCTATAGAAATTTCCCCAAAATGGCAGAAGGAGTGCAGCATCTGTTTGTAATTCTGTTACACATCCTTCTATACCTAGTGTTTGTTTGTTTGGGACACTGGCATTGAAGCAGACCTCACACATAGTAGGCAAGCAGTGCTGCACGGAGCTATATCCTCAGGTTTAATTAAAAAAATTTTTTTTAATTAAAAAAAATTTGAGACCAGATTTCACCGAGTTGCTCAGCTGGCCTTGAACTTGCTCTGTAGCCTAGGTAGGTCATGAACTTTTGATCTTCCTGCTTAAGCCTCCCAAGTAGCTGGGATCATCGGTTTGTACTGATAGATCTTGCTTAGAAGATTTTTTAAATAAAGAAAATGTTTTAAACTCTTAAAACATGTTAGGAAACGTGTTTTAGTTATTTCCGCCAGGCTTGGCACAACCATCTCTACCATGAAACCAGGGACTGTGGGACTTAGAGGAGAGTTGGGCCTGCAGTCATGGCTATGAAATAAGCAGGGGGAACACCTGATGGCTAGGTCTGCAGTAATGGCAAAGGAGCCGTTAATAGCCCATCCTGCTGGAATGAGGGGAAGGATCACTACAGAGTCTCACTCAAGGTTCTAGTCACCATCCCTCCTGTCTAAGGTGCAAATGGACTTGGCAAGTGTACACAGGAGGGGATGTTTGACTGGGACTTCTCAAGGTTGCAGTTGCCCATGAGTTGAGCACACTGGGTGTGGAAATTCCCAGTGGTAGATATACCTTGCAGTCATCCACATGCCTGTAAATACCCCAATAAACTCAGCGGTCCACCGAGCTGGCCTTGGATGGGATCCTTTCTTTGGTCGGTCTATGCCCTTGCTCTCTCTGGGGGTGAGAAGACATTTCACTACATTTTGCCTGAAAAGTCAGGCGATATGAGAAATATGAGAAATGCCCCCCTTCCGTTGTTAAACATGAAGAAAACAAGCAGTGAACTTGCCTTGCTGAACACAATGGACACCATGAAGAAATCCAGCAGGAAGCTCTCCGAAATGTCTTTGTAGTCAAAGTGGAAAAAGATGACAGCAAAGCTCAGATTAACAAACTGATGAACAGGGTTACAGAAGGATGTCCTCAAGAGCTTCATGCCAGCTGTAATCATCAGAAAAATGTCCCAGCTGTGGGAAACCAGAGGCTCAATCAGTAACAGAATGTGATGTATTATATAATCCCTATGGTACCTTGAGGTCTGACTATGCAACATGTTATCCACAGGCCCAGAAGGACGGTGTGGAGGCCCTCTACTGTTCATATCTGCAGAGAGGAACAAACCTCAGACAAGGTCTCATGGGTTAGCTACAACGGAAGCCCAATCTGAACTGACTCCCTGTACATCTTCCTTGCCATGGGAGACAGTTCCTGTGTGTCCCAGTGAGCTTTACCTATCAACTTGACACAGCCTCTGAGAAAAGGATCTCAGTTGAGACACTGCCTAGATCAGATTGGCCTGTGGGCATGTCTGTGGAGGGTTGTCTTGAGGAGGGTCCAATCCACTGTGGGTGGCACCATTCCCTAGGCAGGTGGCCCTGGGTTGTAGAAGAAAGCTAGTTAAACATGAGTCTATGAGTGAGCCAGCAAGCAGTGCCCCATGGTTTCTGCTTCAAGATTCTGCCTTGAGTTTCTGCCCTGATTTCCCTCAGTGAGGAACTGTGACCTGGAAATATAAGATAAATAAACACTTTCCTCCCCTAAGTTGCTTTTGGTTAGGGTGTTTTTATCACAGCAACAGAAGAAAATAAAAATCTTGGTCGTGAGTCCTTGTGTCCCTCAGCAAAGCACAGAGCCTTCTGGGACTTATCTGAGGCAGTGGCTGCCTTCGTGGAAAGCTTGTAGACAGTTACAAAACAGACAGCATGTTGTCCTGGCTAGTGCCCCATGTTTGCCTTGTCTACAACAAGAGACTGACTGAAACAATGGCACAAGAGCCAACAGCAAGTTCCAAACACACACAGAGATGCGCTGTCTTAATAGAGCCCTTTTTAATTTCTGGTGTTTGCTTTCTGTTTTTCTATTTTTGCTTTCTGGATTTCTCTTTTTGGTTTCTTCATTCATGTCCTTAACATTTTCCTATCATGTTTTTAGATGAGGAACTTACCAAAGCAGCACCACACAGAGAAATTCCCTTCTAGGGATTTTTCTTTGAGGAACTCATCCCTGGAAGTTCTCATCCAGGGAGCTGGATTATTAACAGGTGTTGGGTGCATGTGTCGTGGCTACCAACTGCCAAATGGAAGCTTGAGTAAGTGTGCTGGAGATGGAAAGGCAGGGGTAAAGAAGGTGCACCTGGATGGTGTGAACAGCCATGTCCTCAGGGTCCTGTCTTGTTGAGAGACATTGTGCCTTTCAATAAGAGTCCTGCCAATCATAACCCACCCTGGGGGAGCCCAAGGACAGAGGTGGGTAGCTCTGGAAAATGATACCCTGGGGAGTGAGGGAGATGGAGGAAAGGAGGGAGAGATAGAGACAGAGAGACAAAGATAATGAGAGTATCTTCTCTTAGGCTAAGTTCAGTAGCCATGTCTCTATTGTTTTAAGCCCAGAAGACCCTGGACCCTTATTGGCATCACTGATGCCCTGTATCCAGGTGGGGCATCTAGGAAGTGCTTTCCAGTGGGGCAACTATGATTGACAACAATTAACTGAAGAATCAAAATAATAGGGGGAGGATTTTCAATATTCCCAACACAGAAGTGATAAATGTCAGAGGTGACAGACATGGCAGTCATCCTGATCTGTCATTACATGTGCCCTTCATATATCGAAATGCCACCTGTGTCTTATAAATATGCACAATCACCACATGTCAATTAAAAATGAAAGTATAATTTTAAAAAATGCTTTCCAAGTCTGCACCTGCCCAGTGGAAAATGATCCTTTTTAACATCAAAATGTTCTGTTGTTGGCAATTCCCCATGACTCAGTCTGGTTTTTTCCACCTGCCTTCAGACTTATAGCTATGATTGTTTCTGCTCTCCCTGAGGATTTCCAGGTGCAGTGTAGCCAAGGCCCTGTGTGATGGGGTTGTATGTGTTTGTGAGAAAAGCTAGCTCTTGCTTCTGTGCACATTTAGGTGGTATGGGGAAGTTTCTGTAATTTCACCATGGAGCCCTTCCATCCTACAATGAGGCTGAACACTGTTGGGTGACCAGTCTTCCTCTTCCCATAGATCATGGATGCCAGGAGGACAACACAGGTCCATTTGCTGCTGATAGCTGCCCAGAGTACAAAAATCCCTAAGGAACAGCAAAAGCTCCCAGGAAGGACCTCAAGGAAGAGGTGTCTTAAGACTAGGGATATTTCAGTTTCAAGAGAGATTGGTCATTTTCTGAGTTGTGGGGGCAAAATATAGATGGGGGTAAAGTCTAACGTTTTTGTTTTCTGTGACTGTTCATAGTGGAGAATTCACTTTGTGACTATTAATGATGATTGTTATGGTGGTTTAAATGGAAATGTCCCCATAGCCTCATGTTATTTGAACACATGGCCACCAGGGGGTGGCACTGTTTGGGGAGGTTATGGAGCTTTTAGAAGGCAGAGCATCACTGGGAGCAAGCTGTGAGGGTTTACAGCCTTGTTCCACTTCCTGTTCTCTCTCTGCTTCTGGTGTGTGGATAAAAATGTGATCGGTCAACTTTCTGCTCCTGTTGCCATTCCATGGCCTGTAAGACAGAATAAACCCTTCATATCCCAAGTTGCTTTTGATCATAGTATTTTATCACAGCAACAGGAAAGTAACTAATCTAAGTGATTACTATGATAGACACTCAAAAACTGGTGCTCACTGCTGAGCATCATTGCACAGTAGTGACAAGTGATAATATGCTTGGCTGATGTCTTTTTTCTCTTTTAATTTTCATGTGACTGTGTGTGGTGTATATGTATGTGTGTATATGCATGTTCACATGTGGAAGCATATGTGTGTGGGAATGCACATGTATGTAGAACTCTGAGGTGGATGCAGGGAATCATCCTCAATTGTTTTTGCACCTTATTTATTGAGGCAGGGTATTTCAGTCAAGCCCAGAGCTCACCAATATGGCTAGTCTTGGTAGCCAGTTTGCTCTGGGGATCCCCTCTCTGTGCCTTCTGTGGCTGGAGTTACAGGTGGACCAACATGTCTACCCAGCATTTATGTGGGTTTTGGGAGTTCAAACTCAGGTTTTCAAGCTTGTGGGACAGGCGTTTAATCACTGAGCCATCTCTCCAGCCCTATCTGGAAGTTTTGCAAAAACTTAGTGCAGTCAGGGAACAAAGATGTGGATAAGACAGAGCACATACATTGAGACTCCGGGAATTATAACCCTTAACAAGGAGTGATGGTTCACTTACTTTCTACCCTCTACTTGAACACCCAACCATTGTACCTCTAACACTTACTGGGGGGTTGACACTGAAAGATGAGTCAGACTGTGTGCTATTGAGGAGTTAACCATCTGACTAAAATGGTGATCTTCAAAATGGAATGGGAGAGGCTGGGCTCACACAGCTGGGAGAAGGACTCAAGACAACATCTCTGTGAAGCCTCCTGCTGTTCTGAGAAGAGTGGGTCTATTGGGGTGCCTGAAATTGTGGGATTTTTGTTGTTGCTTTATTTCTTCAGATGGACATCTCATGGGTGAAAACTAATTCTCAGCTTTAGGTTCTCAGGAAATAGTTCTATTGTATCATTTGGGAGTTGAGAATACTCAGGGAAGCATAGGTTTGATCGTTAGTTCTAATTGTGAACTTAACACAGTCTAGAATCATCAGGGAAGAGAGTGTCAATGAGAGACTATCTAGATCAGGTTGCCCTATGGGCATGTCTGTGGGTGGCTGTCTTGATTATGTCTTGATTATGGGAAGGTCTACCCATTCTGGGGGGCACCATTCCCTAGGCAGAGGATCCTGTGTAAGAGTGGGGAAAGTGAGCCGAGGGCAAGCATGCACTAATTTGGTTCTCTCTGTTCCCTGACTATGGATTCCACATGGCCAGCTGTCTCAAGTTCTGTTGCTGTGACTTCCCCACAATAACGGGCAGTAATCTGGAACTGTGAACTACAATAAACCCTTTTCCTCTAAATTGCTTTTATCATGGGTATTTTATCATAGCAATAGGAAAATAAGCTACAGTAGGTAGGGGAGCTTTCTTTCCTCCTTTCTTTCCTTGTGTGTGTGTGTGTGTGTGTGTCTGTCTGTCTGTCTGTCTGTCTGTCTATGCATGTGGAGGCCAGAGGTCAACATTTGGTGTCTTCCTCTATCATTCTCTACCTTATTTTCTGAGTCAGGATCTTATTGAACACAGCACTTACCAATACACTAGTCTGACTCACCAGTGAACCCCAGGGATCTATCTATCCCCACCAGGACTGGGGTTACAGACACACGTGCCATGCCCAGCTCTTTTATGTGGGTTGTGGGGGACTGAACTCATGCTCGTACAACAAGCACTTGACTGACTGAGCATCTATCTTCCTAGCTCAAGAGACTTCTTTTTGACTTTAGCATCGGGGGATGGAGGGTACTCTTTCAGGTTGGACTCAGTCAGGTTGTACATATGTGTCTGCTGGAGTCCCAGCCCTTGTACCTGTCTTCTCCAACAGCTACCCTCATCTCACACACTCAGCTCTAAGACATTGTGCTGAAGTTGCCTGCAGAGGGCTTCTCACCCTTCATTGTGAGACTCTAGGGTGGCACGGTCCCAGGCTTTTTAAGTCTGGCTCTGGCTGTCTGCCCAGGGTCAGAAGATATTCCTGACATTAGCCAGGGCTGTGTCCCCTGGGCCTCCCAGCCACGAGTGGGAAGTGTGTGAAGCTCCCCACAGGTAGCTGTCTCCTAGCCTGGGGCCAGGCTCAAATATGCTGAGCTGTGATCCTATCCAGGGTATCACGCTTCTTCTGTAATCTGAGATCTAGGATTCTAAGTATGAAGAGGCATAAAATTCTGGCTCTAGTTCAGCCAAAGCAGGTCCAGACTGTAAAGAAGATAGTCCAATAAAGATAGACAGGTCATAGGCCATTTAGTGTGTGCCTGCTTTGTGTGATTCTGAATCTACTCAAAGTCAAGCAAAGACTCCACTGTCAACTTGCTCAGTCCTTGGCAAATGTGAATAACTGTCCTCACCAGAGCTCAAGAGAGAGCAGGCTTAAACTGGTGTGCTTGACATTCTGAATCAGAGCTGACCCGGATACACTGTGTAACTGACTAACCTGCAGAGAGATATTCAGATCCCCTGATGTTAATTCACAGCATCACTTTGGGCAGATGAGAGTTTGTCTGCGTCCTGTCACTCCACAGTAATTGTCTATTCTGAATGGGTCTGCGTGGAAAACCACCCCTGCCTTCCTTTTGCATGGTCAGGAAACATGTGATGTATGGATATTGGTTTCTTCTGAAGCCTGCGAAAACTCATGCCATTCTGAAAACACTGTGACCCAAATTATTATGAGGATAAACCATTGTCCACTTACTGGGTACCAAGCCTCCGGTAGTTGCTTATGGAGAATGCATCCAGGGTAAGGGCATTCAGGATTATAGCTGGGTATAGAAGGTACTTTTCAAAGCACTGAAGCCAAACATAGAGTCTCTCAAACCACATTAAATGGGCAACATCTGAAAGAAACACAAAACCGCTTAGAGCAGCCCTCTTTTCCTTATGTACATGTGCTAGCCCCCTACTTCACCCAAGTCGTGGAGGGCTCCCAGTACCAGGCACGTGTGCCACGTCTCCTTGTGAGCTGCAGCATTCTGCCTGCTCTACAGATGATAATGCACAGTCACAGGTCAGCACCTGGTGTTTTCACATCGATTGACTTCTTTAGATATGATTTATGGACCAGGGAAATGTGCTGTCACAGGACATCAAGTCACAGTGAGTGAGGCAGAGAATGAAAGATGAGGAAGTGAAAAACATCCCAAAGGCTCCTTCTCCAGTGTGATGGATGTTGTGGTGTTAGAGACTGAACCCAGGCCCTCACACAGACACTGCTCTGCCCTCAGTCAGGCTCAGGGTGACTTCTAAAGTTAGAACTGATTTTTGGGTTCTTCCTTTCCTCTTTAAAAATTTTTTTTGAGCCAGGTGCACACCCCTTTAATCCCAGCACTCGGGAGGCAGAGGCAAGGGGATCTCTGTGAGTTCCAGGCCAGCCTGGTCTACATAGTGAGTTCCAGGCCAGCTGGGGCTACAGGGAGACCCTGTCTCAAAAAGACCAAAAAAAAGGGGGGCGGGGCTGGAGAGATGGCTCAGTGGTTAAGAGCACTGGCTGCTCTTGCAGAGGACCTGGGTTCAATTCCCAGCACCCACATGGTGGCTACTAAACCAACCTTAACTCCATTTCCAGGGGAATCCAAAGCCCTCTTCTGACCTCCGTGGCATTGCACGACACAGGTGCACTCACATATATGCAGGCAATACATTCATACACATTAAATAAAAATAATAAATAAAATATTTAAAAAATAAAAAGTTTAATTTTCAAAAAGAGCCAGGGGTGGTGATGTATGCACTACACACACACCTTAATCCCAGTACTTGGGAAGCAGAGGCAGGTGCATTGCTGCCAGATGGAAGCCAGCCTGGGATGGTGTAAAGAGGGAGTTCCAAGCCTGCTGGGGCTACTTTGTGAGACCTTGTCTCAAAAAGCAAAAACAAATGAAAGAATTCAAAATTTCATATTATGATTTTGCTTTATATTTCCCTGGTGGCTTGTGTGGTTGAGTGCCTTTTCCTGTTACTGATCCCTGGGATGCACACTCTTATGAACTGCTTCTTCATGTCTGTTACTTGGTTCCTGGTTCTATTATTCTGGGGTGTGAGTGCTTAACTTTCTGATTTGGGGGGGTCTTTATCCATCCTGCACATGAGTCTTCAGGGTCCCATTTAGGATATGATTCTCATTCATTCTCTCTCTCTCTCTCTCTCTCTCTCTCTCTCTCTCTCTCTCTCTCTCTCTCTCTCTCTCTCTCTCTCTCTCATCTTTTTACATTGTTTCAGAGAGAAAGTTCATGGCCAAACTTAGTGGCGCAGGTTTGAGGGGTTAAATAAGGGAGATCACAAGTTCAAGATCACCTGGGAAACTTAATTAGACCCTGCTTCAAAACTGAAAATTCAGACCTGCTATGGTGGTAGATCTCTGTGAGTTCCAGACCAGCCTGCACTACATAGTGAGACCTTATCTAAAAAAGAAATCAAAACCTAAAATTCAAAAAGGGCTGAGGATAATGCACAGTGATAGGGTTCTTGTTCAGTGTGTGAAAGCTCCTGGGTTTTACCCCCAGCTCTGCAAAAAATACATAAAATAAAGATTTGAATAACCATGTTTTTCTTCTTATTTCCTGCTTAGACTTTCTGGTTCATTCTTTCAGGTTTATATGTTCAATCTCTCTAGAACTGGCTATTGAGGTAGGTGTGGTGTGAGACAGGTGTTCACATCTGTCTTATGATGGCCAGGGCTGTGTGAGAACAACCTGCATTGCTATGCTGTCAAGTCTGGTGCCCACCAGGCACCTGCCAGACACTAAGCCAGGCTTTCTGTTCACATTATCTCCAATTTCAAAGCAAAGGCTATTACCTCTTCATGCCATCACTGTACACACTCAATCCTATGTTTTCAGTATCTGTCACAGCAGTGTGGAATAATTATTCATTTCAATATTAATCCTCCCATTGTTTGGAGTTTGTCAGGGTAGATTGTCTTATTTAGCTTAGTGCTTCAAGGAAACCCAGGCTGTTCAGCAGAATGGCTGTCACAGGGCTGGGGTTTATTGTCTTATGATCCTTTGTAGTTGAGGAAGTTTTTGATCACAGAAGCAGGAGGCTGAGGAACAGCTCGCTGGGTGAAGTATTTGTAATCATGAAGACCTGAGCCCAGATCTCCAGAACCCACATAAAAGATGGACATAGTAACATACCATGTATTTCCAGCATTCCTACATGGAAATGGGAGGTGGAGACAGAAGAATCTCTGGGACCAGGTAGCCTGGAGTACACAGCAATGAGCAACAATGACAGCCTGTCTCAAACAGGTGGACAGTGAGGACCATCACCAGATTGTCCTCTGACCTCCACACGTGCACCATGGTATGGTGCACACATGCCCCATACCACACATGGATAAATACACACACACACACACACACACACACACACACACACACACACAGCAGGCCCAAAGGAATTCTGTTTTTCTTTTGAGCCAGGGTCTTGTGTAGCCCAGGCTGGCCTCACATGTGTACACCACCATGCTTAGCCAACGTCCACAACTGTATCATATTAAGCAACATTTCCTGTTTAATCTCTCTTAGGATACAATCAGGTTTCTTTCTGTAGGAAATTACTTTTTCTGATTTCTCAATTTATAAGAGATAACAGTTGTCAGATAGAGATCATCACCTCAAAACAATTCAGCCTGCTTTGGAAAATGAGTCTTCAGAGTTCCATCAACATTCGTCACCAATTCAGAGAAACATGACAACTTTGAAAAATAAATGGAGAGAAATCTAAGCCTGTGCCATCCGCATGCTATTAGAAATATGTCTGCATTAAAGGAAACATTGAGCACTGAGGCTGGGGGAAAGCCCAGAACCATCTGGCCGGGAGAATGCATGGCAGATTTTCTAAAGCTTATCATGTTTGCTTTTAGAAAATGATATTTTCCAGTGGGAAGAGATAAGAGAGATTCAAGATGGGAGGCGGGGACCCCTTCCCATTGTTGCCAACAAGGATTAACTGCTGATCACAATAACAAAAGTGAGTTCTTAGGAGCAGAAACCTCTGCTCTGTCTCCCAATACCAAGGAATTTATTTTTCCTACCATGCAGGGTCAAGGTACCAATGGAATATTCCCAGGTGACAGCCCCTTAACCTCAGACATTTCCAATACAGTAATGCCTTTGATGTGTTTGCTGCCTATGGAGGGTTCAATGAGAACTCTTTCGTGGATGGCTTGAATTTTAGCTTAAATAACATGCAGTACTCTAACCAGCAATTCCAATCTATGATGGGTAACTAAAAAAACAAGATAGAAAATGTATCATGTATCCTACAAGCTAAATGCACCCACCCAAGCGGGAGGATTTTTTTTTTCTCCTTGAGATTAAAAAAAAAAAAACTTATAGTAAGGTTACATTCAAGGTTTGTTACAAAAATAAAACATGCATCAATTTTCATTTTCCAACCAAGCACAAAGTTATTTTATACTGATTGTATATTTTTAAATATACTCTCAGATAGGACCTTTTACAATATTTAATACATGGCAAGGACATGGCTAATTTTTTAAATAAAAAAGTGGTACTAATAAGTGGATTTATTGGTCTTTTCTAATTGTATAATTTAATTTAGTACAAAGTTTGTAAAATATCAGAGGACACACACACATTGCTTCTGTGACACAGTATTGCATTTGCATTTTTTACTACAGTGATCTGTGACAGCAGTTTCATGTTATATTTTTTTACTGAAATTATAAAATATCCATCTTAAAGACATCAACTATTCTGCAAATTGTGTACAGAATAGTCCTTTAGTGGTGGAATTAAAAATGTAAAAATATTTGTTTTTTCAAAAAAATGTATTTTCTGTTAAAGATTTTTGCTATATATTATGAAAGAAAATGTAATTGTAAACATTAATTTTGTACCTATAATTTACAACACTTGAAAAAACAGCATAAAAGTATTTTGAGTCAGTGTCTTCCATATTAAGAGGGACTGAAATAGTTTATATTAAATTTATATTAAAATTCTTTAAATTTAAAGAGAAAAATGGGTTGTTGATGAGAATGTCCCTTATTCATCCAAGAAACAAAAAAAGTAATGAATTTCAATGAGAAAAGAAACCACCAGTAAGCTCCGAATTGACCATCCCTGACTTTCCAAATATTTGAGAGTGAAATGACTTGGTGAACCTCTGACCATCTGAACTGTATGTGTACGTGGTGTCCCTGTGTTTATTTATGTGTCTCTGTGTTTCTGTGTGTGCTAGAGAGCTTTAGTGTCAACTTGACACACCTGGGTTGAGGGAGCCTTAGTTAGGGAATTGCCTCCATTGAAGTGGCCTGTGGGGTATTTTCTTGATTGTTGAGTGATGTAGGAGGGCCCATATTGTATAAGAAAGCAGCTTAAGCATGGGACAGAGGAGCAAGCCAGTAACCAGTTCCTCCATAGCCTGTGCTTCAGCTCCTGCCTCCAGGTTCCTGCCCTGAGTTCCTACCTTGGGCTCCCTGAAGAATTGTGACCCAGGAGATGTAAGCCAAATAAACCCTTTCTTTCCCACATTGGTATTGGTCAGAGTGTTTTGTCACAGCAATGGAGAAACAAACTAGGACACTGTGTGACTATGTGTGTGTCTGTCTATGTATATGTCCCTGTATATCTTTCTATCTGTGTGTGTGTGTGTGTGTTTATGTATGTGCCTCTGTGTGCCTAGGTGAGTATCTGTGTATGACTGTGTGTATTACTCCATGTCTGTCTCTCTGTGTGTGTTATGTGTGTTTTTGTCTGTATGTTTGTATATGTGACTGTGAATCTGTGTGTGTTTGTGTCTCTGTGTATGTGTGTATCTGTGTATGCATATGTGTGTGTGTGTCTGGTGTGTGTATGTATCTGTCTAT